GTCAGGAACCAAATATTTCCATCTAAGGACGTTTAGATGTGCAATTTATGTACCCATTTCTCCACCTCAAAGATAATTAGAATTTATGTTGGATATGAATCTCCATCTATAGTAAAATATTTAAAACCATCAACTGGAGATTTATTTACAACTATATTTGATGATTATTATTTTGATGAATCATATTTTCCAACATTAGGGGGAGAAATAAAGAAGCTGGAAAATAAAATCTCTTAAAAGGAATTATCACTTTTAGTTTTAGATCCTCGTTCAAGTTAATGTGAACTTGAAATAAAAAAGATAATTCATTTACAAAATGTAGCAAATCAATTGTCAGATGCATTTACTGACCCTAAGAGAGTAACAAAGTCTCATGTACCAGTTGTAAATGCTCCAGTTAGAATTGATATCCCAGAAGGAAAAAATACAACTACAAATGAATCTAAGGTACGCCTGAAGCGTGGAAGACCAACCGGTTCCAAAGATAAAAATCTTCAAAAATGAAAGGGAGCAAATATAATTGATGGTCCAAAAGAGAAAATAGAATCTCTTGAAAAGATTAATGAAGCTCTAGAAGAGCCTAATGACACAACAAAAGAAAATAAGGTACCTGAAAAAAATGAAAATGATGAGATCTCAATAAATTATGTCATGACAGGAATAAGATGGAACCGAAATAAGATAGACGTCGATGATAATTTTTCATATCATGTTGCGTGCGAGATTATGGAAGAAAATGAGGATCTTGAACCTAAATCTATAGAGGAATGTAGAAATAGAAAAGATTGGCCAAAATGGAAAGATGCAATCAACAAAGAGCTTAATTCTCTTACTCAACGAAAAGTTTTTGGACCTGTAGTCCGTACACCAAACAGAGTAAGACTAGTGGGACACAAATAGGTATTTGTACGCAAAAGAAACGAGAAAAATGAAGTTGTGAGATCTAATGCAAGACTTGTCGCACAAGGTTTTACCCAAAGGCCCAAATTTGATTATGAATAAACATACTCTCCTATGGTTGATGCAATTACATTCCATTATCTAATAAGTCTAGCAACACATGAAAAACTGGAGATGCGTCTGATGGATGTAGTTACCGCCTATTTATATGGTCCACTTGATAATGATATTTATATGAAATCCTAGAAGGATTTAAGGTGCCAGAAGCACAAACTTCTAATTCTCGAAAAGTATATTCGGTCAAATTAAATAAATCTTTGTATGGATTGAAACAATAAGACCATATGTGGTTCAATTTTTTAAATACCATTTTGTTGAAAGAGGGCCACAAAAATGATCCAATAAGCCTATGTGTATTCATAAAAAGATTCGGATCAGAATTTGTCATAATTGATGTTATTGTAGATGATTTGAACATAATTGGAACTCCTAGAGAATTGGAAAAGGCCACTTCTTGTTTTAAAGAAATATTTGAAATGAATGATCTTGGTAAAATGAAATTTTGTTTGGGTCTTCAAATTAAGCACACAAAAATAGAGTTTTTATACATTTACATATAGAAAAGGTGCTTAAAATGTTTTATAGGAATAACTCACATCCATGAGTAACCCGATGGTGGTAAGGCACTTACATGCCAAAAAGGACAAATTTCAACATCATAAAAAACATGAAAATCTTCTTGTTCCCGAAGAACCATATCTTAGTGCTATTGGTGCACTAATATATCTTACTATTAATACAAGACCTGATAAATCTTTTGTCGTAAACTTATTAGCAAGATATAGTTCTTGTCCAACAAGAAGACACTGGAATAGAGTCAAACACATTCTTTGGTATCTTCGAGGTACAGTGGATATAAATTTATACTAATCAAATTCATCAAATGCGAAGTTAATTGGTTATGCAGATGCTGGATATTTATCTGATCCACATAAAGCTCGAACCCAAACAGGTTGTTTATTCAGTTATGGAGGTAAGAAAATTTCTTGACATTATGTTAAACAAACTTTAGTTGCTGCTTATTCTAACCATGCAGAGATTATAACGATTTATAAGGCAAGTCATGAATGTATTTGGTTAAGAAAGTTAACTAACCATATTCGCAAGAATTGTGGTCTAACTTCTAACAGGGATGTTCCAACCATACTATATGAAGATAATACGACTTGTATAGCTTTATTTAAGGAAGGATTTATCAAAGGAGACAGAACCAAACATATATCACCCAAGTTCTTTTTCACTTATGATCTTCAAAAAGAGTGTGGCATCAACATCCAGAAAATTCAATCAAGTAACAACATTCCCAATTTGTTCACTAAAGCACTTCCTACATCCAAATTTGAAAGGATGGTACGAAACATTGCTATGCGACGCTTCAAGGAAATCAAGTGATGTGCTGACCAGGGGGAGTTGGAAACATATTGTACTCTTTTCCTTAGCTATGTTTTTCCCACTGGGTTTTCTTAGCAAGGTTTTTAACGAGGCAATTGTTTCCAATATCTATTATTAGTCATGTACTATTTTTCCTTAATAAAGGATTTTTTCCCATGAGGTTTTACCTATTAAGGTTTTAACGAGGCATGATACAATCGTCATTCAAGGAGGAGTGTTATGAAATATTAGTTTGTGAATGACCATTGGATTCCCCATTTCTCCCATAACTCTCTATCATTATTTAACATTAGTAACAACCATTTCAATGTGTTTTATGAGTCTAATAATGCACCATCATATTGTGCATTCATCTTTTATTCAATTTTGGTTGTATAAAGAGTGAGCCATATGTATTAGAAAGTTGATGATTTTATCACAAGTATTGGAATAAAAGTTTTCTCTACTCTCATGTCTTTCTTTACTCTATAATTTATCTTGTTATTTAATCATATTTTATAACAAGTTATTAGTCATGGTAATTGTGGTGCATTCTTATTGTGAACTTCATTTAATATTAATAATACCATTGGTTTTCTTTGCGAACTCAATTCCATATGCGATATGTAACGATTTTATCTCTCGTAAATGTTTATCTCCAACGTTTTTAGTTGTTTTGTCAATGTAAAAGAAAAACACTCTTACGAATGCATGATGTATATTTTACGATTCATGACATGTTTGATAAAAATATGCTAGCTTATTATAAGAGTATTAGGAGTGGGTAATGCCCACAGGCGTTATTAGCAGAAAAAAAGGAAACGTCGTTACCGGATGCTGTGGTGGTAACGGGAAGCAACGAGAATACCTATAACGCGCAATAGCGGTGGAGAGGGGCGGTGTTCTTAGGCGTTATTAAGGGTGGTAACGGGAGTGGACGTTGCCCACTCCTAGTAGCCTAATATTTCTATTATAATAAATGAATAAATTTATTCTTCTATTAACAAGTATCATAATATTAGAAATCCTCATTAATATTATATGTCACCTATCATGCCGCATGTCAAACCTATTAATTATCCATTTTAAATTTTAAATTTTAAATTTCCCACTCTAATTATATTAAATTAATAATTGATTCTTAATTTCAAATTTTAAATTTTAAATTTCATACTCTAATTACATTAAATTAATAACATTAAAATAAAAAATAAAATAAAATTAATATATATTATAAGGTCATATAAGTTCATGTATTTATTTAAATCAACGATTATAATTTTATATAACTAAAAAAATATTTCTTAATTAATAATTTATTTAAAATAATTGATTAATAATTTTAAGTTTTTACTATAAAAGTTTAATTAGTTTTATAACTGTCTTTCTTACACGTTATAAACTAGTCTTCCTATTCTAATAAAAGAATAAGTTTAATATTCCATTGACAAGTGTCATACAATTAGAACTCCTCATTAATGTTATATATCACTTATCATGGCATTTGTCAAACCATTAATTATTAATTTCAAATTTCAAATTTTAAATTTCCACTCTAATTATATTAAATTAATAATTGATTATCCATTTCAAATTTCAAATTTTAAATTTTCCCACTGTACTTACATTAAATTAATAATTAATTCTTCATTTTAAATTCAAATTTCAAATTTTCTCACTCTAATTATATTAAATTAATAACATTATACTTAAAAATAAAATAAAATTAATACATATTATAAGATGATATAACTTCACGTATTTATTTAAATCAACGATTATAATTTTATATAACTAAAAAAATATCTCTTAAGTAATAATTTATTTAAAATAATTAATTAATAATTTTGATTTTTTGATATGAAAGTTTAATTAATTTTATCTGTGGTTCTCACGGATTATAAACTAGTATAAAAATAGATAAGACTACAAATAATGTAGCTTAAAATAGTTTATAAACAACTTTTTAAAAAGATAACTTGGAATAATTTATTATACATTCTTTTCGGAAATCTCCTTTTTTTAACAGTAATCTCCTTTAACAATAGAAATAGAAGCTCAAAAAAAAATATCAAAACCTAATTTATTCACTTAGCTAAGGGGGTGTTTGACTTATCTTTTGAGAGGCTAAAAGTCCTTTTACATAAAGATAGCAGATAAAAGATGTTTGGTAAAAGCTCCTTAAAAGCTCCTTTTGGATTTTTCATAGAAGGAAAACTGATTTTTTAGTCAGAAAAACCTGGCTTTTTGTAACTTTTCCCAAAAGTCCTTTTGGCCTCTCAAAAGATAACCCAAACACCCCTCAAGTATCTTTGCATCCATGGCTGAATACTATCTTATAAGCTAAAAGGACTACATCTCTATTTTCTTAAAATTCGGATAAAACTCATCTTTAATGGCACACTTGCACATTTTAACTCTTCTAATAACTCATGAAATTTTTATGACCGGTGGATTTCAACTTTGACTCAAAATTAAACCCTCCATCGTCCATACGCTTGTTGAATTCTAAACAAAGAGATTGACAATTTTACTTCAACTTATCAATCAAAAACATAACTGAATCTTTCGTCTTGTTTATGTGCAAATTCTAAACCAGAGATGTCAATTTACTATAACCTGAAACCCTAATCCAACACTAAAACCCTTTTCAAGAATTTGAAATCCCTATGTTCCAGCATAACGGAATCAGAATCAAAGTTATCTCCATGGGATTGGGAGCAGAGCAGAAATGGCTGTTCATTCTCTTCACCGCTGCAATCATCTCTCTGCTACTCTTCATCTCCTCGATCTTTGGTTTTAGTGCTTCATACGCCTCACACAAATCCTTCTCCTCCACCGTCCACCGTGGGACTAGTCACCCTCCATCGTTTTCCTACTACATATCCGGCACTGGCGGAGACGCCGACAGGATTTTCCGGTTGTTGTTGACGGTGTACCATCCCAGGAATCGGTATTTGTTGCACATTGGGACTGAGGGTTCTGTCGATGAGAGGAAGAGGTTGGCAGAGTTGGTAAAGTCAGTACCAGTGATTAGGGCTTTTGATAATGTGCATCTAATTCAGAACCCTGATCCAACAACGGAAATGGGCGCGAGCAATATCGCCGCGATTTTGCATGCTGCAGCGATTCTATTGAAGAACGATGGTGATTGGGATTGGTTTATTACTTTGAGCGCATCGGACTATCCTTTGCTAACACAAGATGGTATGCCCTAACTTTATCTGTTGTTTTTGATAATGAATAGCAATTTTGTTTATCTTCTGGTGTTACTTGATATCATTTTAATGGTACTTCCTTCTTCATATCATCCTATTTCAGACTTGTTTCATGCATTCTCCTCGATTAGCAGAGATGCTAATTTCATCGATCATACCAGTGACCTTGGATGGAAACAGTAAGAAGAATCTTCATTACAATCGATGGTTTCCCTTTCATCTCTAATTCAACCATATTAAATCAAAATTTCATGATAATATCCAGGGATCAAAGGATTCAGCCGATTGTAGTTGATCCAGGGATTTACTTAGCAAGACGAACCCAAATCTTTAGGGCTACTGAAAAACGACCTATGCCAGATGCCTTCAAAGTTTTCACAGGCAAGCTTCCTACTTCCTAGTTCCTATATCTCTAGTTTAACTAAACTCACCATTTTCACTTTTATGAAAAAAAAAAAAAACTTCAATCTTGTTTTTCAGGGTCTCCATGGGTGATTTTGAGCCGATCTTTTCTTGAATATTGTGTTTTTGCATGGGACAATCTCCCTCGAACACTTCTAATGTATGTTAACAATATTGTTTTGGCACAAGAAGTTTACTTCCATACTGTAATCTGCAACTCACCTGAGTTCAAGAACACAACCATCAACAATGATTTGAGATTCATGGCATGGGATAAACCCCGAAAGATGGAACCCATCTTTCTCAAAAACTCAAACTACAAGAACATGGTTGAAAGTGGAGCTGCTTTTGCAAGAAGGTTTGATGAGAATGATGCAGTGTTAGACATGATTGATAGTAATATTTTAACCCGCAAAAGTGGGCGGGTTGCACCAGGGGTATGGTGCACGGGTCATAGGAACTGGTTCATGGACCCGTGTTCTCATTGGGGTGATGTTAATGTCTTGAAAAGAAGTCATGAAGGTAAGAAGTTTGATGAGTTGATAAAGAAAATGGTGGATGATTCGAGTTTACAGTTGAATCAATGCAAATGAAAGTGGAAAGTGGAAACAAGTCAAATGGTTTAAAGAAAGATGGAGTTTTAGGAGGCGCAATCTTTTTTTTTTTTTTTTGTAATTCATGAGGTAAAGATTGAAGCTTTGTTATTTGTTATGGTGTGAAGGTGCATCATGATTTTGCTTATTTTATTTATTATGATTATGATTTTGATTTGTTCAATTATGATAGGAAATTGTGATAGAGGGGAATGGGATTATGAAATCAAGAGTTGTTTTGTTGTAAAGATGTGGTTATGGGATTTGAGTTTTTTTTTATCAATTTGTTGTTAAATGTTATGGCACTCATCACATTTCATCAGCCAATTTGAATTTTAGACGAGATTTAATGGATTTACAATGTCCATAGCGTAAGGATTATGATTTTCTTTTCATTTGGATGAAAGATGAGGAAGAAATAAAAAATGATTAAAAAAAGAAAAATTATGTTATAGTTTGGGTTTTAATTTAACTTTTGTAAATGGGTTTGATCCCATCTTCATTTTCATTTTTCGTATAAATGGATTTGATCCTGTTACTGTAATACCTCAATCAAGCATCATCATAAACACCCAACTTTATTTATTAAAAAAGAATCAAAGAAATCAATTCTCATCACCTCCATTCTCACATCTCACGAATGATTGCGAATACTAGCTAGTGCGTTGTAATAATAAAAGGACTGACTAATACCAGATCTTTTTGCAAGTCTTGCAAAAATAAATATGGTTTGGAACAATCTTAAATGGGTAAAAAAAAGTTTATCATAAGGCCAATTGAGTAAACACTAATCGTTTTGCATGTCTCATCTAAAATAAATAATATTCTTATTTGGTTAACCCGAACCCAATAAAAAACATAATAAAGAAACCTGAAACCAGACCCTATGAAACCAGACCCTATCTATATATCAGGTTTGTCGGGTCAACCCGAATAACCCGATTTTGACATTCGGACCATATTAAACCCGCCATATTTATCTTATTCGGGTTTGGGTCAGATCAAGTTAATCAGGTTCGGACATTTTTGACACACCTATTCATGTCTAACAACTTTTTGAGGATGGCATGAAAAATATATTGATAAATGGGTATGATTTTGGTCTTTAAACTTTTTGGTTGTTAGGAATTTGATAGTAATCAAATATTTGTATGCTTTTAATCAATGTTGTAAAAATTGGTTGAAACATCCGATTAACTGCGACTAATTACTTGACGTTCTCTATCCATTTACAAATAACGCAAATCGGTCGTATTAGGTGTCAACGGTCAAAATTGGTCATTATTCGGGCTAGACGGTCGAAATTAATGAAAAAGTCAAATGAGCAAAATTATAAAAATAAAAATAAAAATAAGTCAACAAAGCTGAAAAAAAAATCAAAATTAAAGATTGAAAAAACGCAAATGGTAAACTAAATGCCCTAATTCATCACATCTCTTTGTCTCTCATCACATCGACGCTTAAGTTTACGTCCCTCATCATGCCGACACTGAATTCTTTGAATCTGATTATAAAATTGAATCAGACTTTGCTATTTCTTTAACTTTTACATTTCTATATATTTTTTGATGTGTATATGAGCATAAAATAAATCAAACTTTGGTATTTGGTGATATTTATTTATTTTTAATTATATTCTTTTATAATTTAGGGTCATCGATTAATCTTCATATAGACGGATTATTCATTAACCCTAATTCACCGACTCGCTACCACCTAATAATATTTAAAAAAGAAAATTACAAAACTAGCCTAATCCCTTAATTACTTTGTGGAAAATAGCAAAAAAAACTCAAATTACAAAAATAGCCATCAAAATTGCAGATTGACTCAGTCCATCTGCGATTTTACTTATCCATCTGCGAACGTACAAGTCACTAAAGCACATTTGTGCTTTAGCGACTTGTACGTTCGCAGATGGACTCAGTCCATCTGTGATTTTGCGTCCATCTGTGATTTTCCCTTTTTCAGGGGTATAAAAATGTAATTCTTTTTCATTTTTCATTTTTCAAACTTTTTTTTGGAGAACTCTCTCTGGAGGCACTATAAACGATTTCATATTTCAAAGTTTTTGTTGGAGAATTCATTTTATTAGAGAAGTTTTAAACAAATATTCTAAAGAAATAAGAACTAAATTGATAATTTTTTGCAATACTTTATATATAATAAAGTAGTTTCGTAGTTAAACTCTATCAATTTTGTAGTCAAAATTTTAAAAAAAAATTAAAATTAAAAATTAAAAAAAGAAACGCAAAATCGTAGGTGGGATAAGAGGAAATCGCAGATGAAATTAGTTCATCTGCGATTTTAGTCAGAGATGAGGGTATTTATACGGAAACAATAAAAAAGAACTAAAAAAACCACCTGCGAACGTACAAGTCGCTAAGCATGACTGTGCTTTAGCGACTTGTACGTTCACAGATAGAATGCTAAAATCGCAGATGGGCTTAATTCATCTGCGATTTTCATGACTATATTTGTAATTTGAGTTTTTTTGGCTATTTTTCACAAAATAATTAAGGAATTTAGCTATATTTGCAATTTTCTCTATTTAAATTGCTTTTAATACCCACCCATATCGGTCTTCAACTGCATATTCAGGAAAATTCCATTTTAAAACGAGACCATCATGGCATATATGGCTGACAAGTGACAACCCAATTTAGCCGTTTAGTACTCATGCACAACATCGCTTGACGGTATGAATTTCTCATTTAGGCTAGAGCTAATGGGTTTTCTTGAATAGCTCGGAATGTTGTCTCCATGATGGGCCTTGATTGAGACCAACATCTATGGTAGGATCGAAGTCGGTATTTTATGCAATAGACCAGGTGGAAACCATTTTAAATCAATATGCTTTCGTACCAAAATGATGGAACTTAGAACTTAAAATCTGCGTGAAAATAAATAAGGATAGCATTGTTTTTTGGGAAAATGACTTAAAAGTTCAACGAAATTTCCAAACCGTACAAAAAACCTAAATCATTTTTTGTCTGTTCAAGAAAATCCAACGAACTTTAAATTTTGTTTAAAAAAGCCCAACAAAGTTTTCAGACCGTTCAAAAAACTCCAATCATGTTTTGTCTGTTCAAAAGGTTAAGTTGTTGGGTTTTTTTTAAAAGAAAAAACATGATTGAGGTTTTTTGAACGGTTTGGAAACTTTATTGGTCGTACAAGTTATTTTCCCGATATGGTAATAAGCGACGTCATCTGTTTCTCTTCTTTGACTTTCATAGAATTGAACAAAAATGTAACTTAATTGGGTTTTTTTAGACAAAATGTTAAGTTCATTAGGTTTTGTTAGGTTTTTTATAACAGACAAAACATGATTGTAGTTTTTTGAACGCTTTGAAAATTTCGTTGGGCTCATAAGTCATTACAAGTTCAAAGTCTTATATAACTATAATCCTCTATAGATGTTGCACTTGAGGAGGAGTGATTGTGGAAGTAATTTCCCCCAGTCTTATAGAACAACCATGAAAGAAAAAAGGAGAGAAAACGTCGATGATCAAAGAACAAGGAAACGAGAAATAACCCTAAACAACCGTCTCTTAGAGGCAAAGAAATGGGCGGGACAATCATAGCATGTAGACAACAATTAGAAACGACGAAACTCAACACTCCCATATGGGCACGTGACCTAACACAAATGAGACGTTTGTAACGGTCGTAAAATCGTCATGGTTCGTACCTTATTGGCCATCGCTACCAAATGCAATTAGAGAATCATCAAGTATAAAAAGAAAAGCTGATATGCCGCCTTGATTTTTCTTTGTGTCAAACCCCATACCCCTATAATAATAGCAGAGTAAAGGGTGGCCCCAAAGCGGAATTGACCGATGGTTATTAGTCGAAACTCCAGTAGGTAGCCAATCCCTTCTTTAGGAACCGTACGTAAGATTTCCACATCATACGAATTTGTCCCGAGCTACTGTCGTTGGCCAACTTTATCATATTCATTTGAATTTAACGTACTGTAAGACTAATAAGCCAAAGCAAACCGAGCGTGGGGTGAGATGCATGCAATTGAAATAGACATAAACTATGATGTCCCCATGATAGAAGCCTAGTGCTTGAGATGCGGAATTCCACACATGAGGTCCATGATTTACCCCAACCACTACCCTTTCTGATTCTCCACAACTAAAGTTTGTCTGTCTCCCATTTTCTGACTTTGCCGAAGGGGGATTCATTAAGTATGTTTTAACCTAATTTTTGTTTGGTATTCTAATAAATTATGCGGATTTTAATTTGTGAATTATTTGAGTTATGTGGATTCTTTTGTTAATTTTATGATTTTGGTGTGATTTTGTTGAATTATGTGGATTTTGTGAACTTTTATAATTTTGAATATGTTAAAGTTAGAAGGAACTTTTAAATTTTTTGAAGACTTCTCTAACTTGTGTCAATATATAGAAACACCTGCTAGGGTTTACGAATGAAGATGCAACTGATGGCTTTTGAATCAAATGATGAAACCTGGTAAAATATATAAGATTTATGTTATAATTATTTCCATAAAAGACCCTATATTTTGACTTTTTTTCTTTTTAGACCTAAAACTTTTTTCTTTTTCGAAAAAGACCCAACTTTTACTTGTTACTTGTTGTTTTAGACCTAACAGGTCACCAAAAGGGAAATTAAGTATTTTTTTTCATAAAAGACCCTACATTTAGTACTTTTTTCCAATTTAGACTTAAAATGTTTTTTATTTCAAGACTAGTTGTATAAAAACGTGATTATATCCTTTTAGTTTAAACATAGACATCGATTTAAACAATGTAATTATTATGCCTACATTTATTTATGATTGGACAATTCTTTGTCCATGTATATTTATACAAAAAAAAGTAGTTGTAAAAGTTATTTCTTCACTGCATCAAGTTCATGTAGCTTAATTTCGTCAAGGCGTAAAAAACATACTTATATTCTTTTAGTTTAAATAATAGACAACGATTTAACTTTTGCATCTTTTGGCGTTGTATTGATTTACGCATGAAACATTTTTTTTAAACCATTACACATACAATGAAGTTGTATAGTATAATTTTTTTTTCACGAGTGTAATATAAATAATAACAAAATGTTTTGTCTACATTTGGGAAAATTTACAGTTTCTAGCTCCAAAACCTTTTTTTTATATTATTAGTTTAATTAGTTTTTCGATTTCAGTTACATAAAACAATTACCAAAAGCTAGGAGTTGAATACATAGACATGTGAAGTCAAATTTCCTAACAGCACAAAAGAGATTTTATATAATTTTAAGATCATAAATTCAATAACCAATTGAGTACCAAACACCTTCAAGCTTTTTTAAATTAAAATGAAATCCTAAATTTTATTTTGGTAATTAATATGATTATACTTGAGAATCAATAACCGCGATATACAAACACCATGTGTTTGGATATTTAAGTGTGCGGTATCATTTTTGTTATTTGGATTTTTAACTTATGCTCAAATGGTTTCATTCCCATAATATAGTTTTATGTATTTATATGTGATGTTAATATTTTTTAAGAATGTCTTAAACTTGAATTTGATATCTAAACAAAACTATTACGAATGTTTAGGATTAATATTTTTATATATGTATTTGATATAATTATAACATGTTATTCAATAATGGGCTAATGCTACAAATATTCTATGACTTTGGTTTATGAGTATGATAGTGAGTACATTTATTAACTGTTCTAAAAAAATTGATTAAAAAATTCGACCAAAAAAATAATATAGAAAAGTGAGAGGAAAATATGTCCAAACTCACGAAATAGGTATAATAGACAAACTAAAAAAATTTATTTTGTATACAGTTTGTTAAATTACATGGTATGTTTTTTTCTACAAATAAAAAAAATTGTTATTATGCTAAAAGATTCTTCCTAGCCATGTATTATCAATGTTACCAAAAAATATCAAATTAACATCAAACTTTTTATTAGCGGTAATAATAACATTTTTTATAAATAATATATCAAGTTTAATGATATAATATATATCCAAGATAAAGTTTAATTATATCTTTTTTGACAAAAATAAAATTTTGCAAATCTTCTAGGTTATATTCGTTCAAAAGATAATAGATTAGATAACATTTTTTAGTTTATACATGTATACTTTCTTTTTCGGTGTAGTCAAGAAGTACCTTATATATTTGGTCTTGAAGATTATAACCAATTTTAAAGTTGAGTTTATTTTGAAAAAAAAAACATTTTAGGTCTAAAATGGAAAAAACTACAAAATATAGGGTCTTTTATGAAACAAAAATACATAATTTACCTGTTGGTGACCTGCTAGGGTCTGAAATAACAAGTAACAGATAAAAGTTAGGTCTTTTTCGGAAAAGAAAAACATTCTAGGTCTAAAAAGAAAAAAAAGTCAAAATATAAGGTTTTTTATGAAAATAACCCTATAATTTTATTAGTCATTGTATATACTTATTACTTGTGGATTTTTTTCTATAACTTGGAAGGAATGAAAATCACTCTGTAAGAGCATATGGTATGGGCAACGAGAAATGCTATTATTGCTGATGTGACACCTCATAACCTAGTCATAACAAGATGAACACCCCCCCTCTTGTTATATCTAGTTGTGGTCATGACCAGATGAAACGTGATCTTCTATTGGCTGCACAAATTCTCTCTCTCCATCTCTCTCCTCTTAACGGGTGTTATAACACCACCCGTCTTCTTGTTGCTTCTTGTTATAACACCACTTCAAGTTGCCCATACCATATGCTCTAATTAAAAGCTGATAATTCACTATTTACTAATTTTAATACAAAATAAATAAATAAATAAATTATGTCTGATGTAGACACGTAAAGCATACTGTAACAGATTTTCCCGCCGAAGAAGAGAATATAATCGTATCTACATTTACAGTCATTTCCAATCACCGTCGTCAACCAATCACCACCGCTTGTACGTTTTAATGGCGGCGAAACCGACGATGATTCTTCCGGTAGTTCTCCTAGTAGCTATCCTTTCCTTCACCAACGCTCTCCCATCGGAGACCATCTCCAACGCCGCCGAAACTCTCTCCGATTCCGGCTACATCGCTATGTCCTTAACCCTAAATCTCGTCTCCAGCTCTTTACTATCTCAAACAAGCTCCGCCACCATCTTCACGCCTCCTGACTCCATCTTCACTGAACTCGGCCAACCTCCTCAGTCTCTCCTCGAACTCCACATTTCACCATTAGGTTTCTCCTTCCCTGGTCTCCGTTCCCTTGATCCTGGCACCAAAATCCCCACTATGTCCTCCGACAACTACCTCACCATTACGTCCCCTTCATCATCCGATCAGGTTTCTATAAACAACGTGAAAATCCTTGGATCTCCGATTTTCGACGACGGATCGCTGATAATTTTTGGTATTGAGAAATTCTTCGATTCTAATTTCACTGTCTCTGATTCTCCCGCACAAATCCCAAGCATCAATGATTGCGAGACACCGTATAGTGGTGGTAACAGTTTCTCGTTCCATGAAGCCAGTAACGTGTTGATCTCTAGAGGATACTCTGTGATGGCTTCGTTTCTAAATCTGCAATTGCTAGGTTTTCTGAGTCAACCTAGTTTGACTCTTTTCGCCCCTGCTGATGAAGTCATGGTCGATTATTCAGGTCGGTTTCCTGATTATCCGTCACTGTTCCTACGGCATGTGTTGCCTTGTAAGATTTCGTTGAAAGATCTTGTTAATATCGAAAATGGAACCAATATGAACACGTATCTGAATGGATTTAGAATCAACGTTACTAGATCTGGTGCTACGTTGAAGGTGAATGAACTTCCGATTGCATTTCCGGACATGTATTACAGTGATTGGCTTGTGATTCATGGAGTTCCTGCTGTTCTTTCTCTTTCTGAACCAGCGGACGACGACGACAACGACGATTCTGATGGAGATACTTTTGATACAATTCCTTTCCGTGATTCTGGCGATGAGGTGACAGTTCCCGATGCTTCAACTCGCAGTACTGAATTTTAAGCTGACAGAGATCCTACAGAAGATTTGCAAGTAAGCCCCATGGTTACATTACCTTGTTACATAATATTTTTTTTTCTGAATTAGAATTTTGTCGACTAAATTGATGCTGATAGAACTCACAGATTCACATAATCAAATTCCAATTGAAGATATAAATGTATGCGTTTGACTACTTCCTTATCTATCTCTATGTCTTGATTTGTTCTCTGTTTGGTAAAATTTCTGGAATATGGAACCAGTATGATCCTATATCTGCAACTCCATGACTTAATTAACAGTTTTAGTTTTGGAATTGTTTCTAAATCCATATTCAACCGAATTCCAAATCTTAGTAATTAATTAACCATCATCTGGTAATTGTTTCAAGCACCCTGTAGCTTCGATTGTGTCAAAAGCTCTTAATCTCTTGAAATATTTTAAACAAATCTTTCATATGCATCAATCTACCATAATATATCGTGGGATTCAAGCTCAACCTTTATTAAATGTTGTATAAAACAGTTTTATCTAATAGGACATAATAGCAAATCATGAAAGATTTGAATGAGCGTGTAAGTGCATTCAGTGTCATGAAAGTTTAGACTAACCAGTACACCACCATACATTCTATTAAACTGTCCAAAAGTTTGGTTTGAGTATAGAATACAAGTTAGTGGTTTTTAATATGGTTAAAAAGTAATGATTTCTATAAAGATTATAGTTTACCAATTCGATGGCTTGTTTATTTAATTTATGTATATAGTCTATACCTAAAAAGATTAAAGATACAACCTTTATCACATTTCTTATATTCTTGATGCATATATGATAATTTAGGTAGTATCCGATCTCTGGATTCATATATTCATAATATAAAACTTAAACCACTTAGAATACCCAACTATGCTTTATTTACTTGTTAATAAAATCTGATTTGCGAGCATTTGAAAATTGTAAGTTAGGTATCTATAAGTTTCCATCTCTAATATGAAATGATAAATCCGTATTTATCAAGATTATAATTATTATATGCTATATATTAGGTTTAACATCTATATTTGGTATTTCTTTTTGGAACAACAATCTACATGATACTTTATTATTTATAGCAGTTGTGATTGTACCTTTCTATGTCATTGCCGTTACCACAACTTAATACCGATATAAGTTGTATTTTCATTTATTAGAGTAGATTATTGTATTTTAATTTTAATTTTATCATTATATTATGTATTTTTATAACAAAAATAATGTGACAGCATTATCTTTCTAATAAAACTAATTATACAATCATTATTTTCTTATTACAATAATGTACTTATAAAAATCAACATATTTATGATTTTTATATAAGGATATTGTTATAATTATGTAGTTTTTTCATGTCAAATATGTCTCGTCGTATTTGAGACAGTAATTTTCCGAGGCACGAATGCTGACATCTATCTCTTCCATGTTTCATCTTAATGGGATTACTTGTTCAATGGTTGTTTTCGTTCTTGTGTAATATTAGAACTCACTAAATAATAAATCCGACTTAAATCTTACTTAAGGTTTTGTTATGGGTATGCATGGGTCGTTTAGACCAAAACTAAACCAATCAGCTAATGAAACTACCATACTGATATTATCATGTGTGGTATGACATAAAAGTCTAAAACCCACATCCACGATCAAACATTTCATATCATTGAACAATGCTTGGTTGTTTTCGCATATCATAACAGAAGTCTAAAATGAAATTAGTTATGTATTTAGTTTATAAATGTATGAATAACTAGGGGAAATACCCACTTGATGCAACGAAAACCTTGAAAATGATTAGATAGAAATATTAACCATGTACTTTTGGATCGATATTGTGGAACCTGATAAAATTATTTATTTTAGGCAGAAATATATGCATTAACTTATTTTATTTATTAGATCATGTAACGTTTTTTAATATTTTATATGAATAAGTAAGAAATCGGCAAAATTATGTATTTTGATGATATTTTATATTGCGATAAATAATGAATAATGTATTTTTGAATTCATTGATTATGACGATTACAAAAGAGTAATTAGTTTCGAAATACATAATATTTATGGTATTGTGTTAAAAGGAAAAATTACATACGATTTATTACATTATTGTGGATTTAAACATCCACATATCTTCATATTCCTGCTTGTATCCCACGTGATAGTAAACAAACTTGAAAAAAAAAAAAACAGTTAAATGTTTGATTATCTCCTTCGGTAAGACAAAGTTAGGTATAACAATTATAGTTTGTAAAAAAGAATAATTCAAAAAAAAAAATAGTAAACAAACTTGAAAAGAAAAACTACATTGTAAAAGCAAAATTATTACAGAAACATGCATAAGAACGAATATGTAAGGGAGAAGGGAGTCGTGGTGGTTTGGGGAGGTGGGATGGGGCGGTACCGGAGGTACCGCTGGGTAATGATACCCTGCTCCGGTGGGTTGAGCGGTTTGGAGGAGAAAAGCCATTGAGCGGGTTTGAGAACCCTCCCTGTATTACCAAATTGTATTTATATGTTTTTAATTAGTTTGTTAATTAAATTATCAAATTGTATTTATATGTTTTTAATTAGTTTGTTAATTAAATTTGAATGTTTTTGTTAATTAATTTGAATGATTTTAATTAGTGTGTATTTATTTTAAAATTAAAAATTAATTGAGTTGAATGGGTTGGGATAGATACAGTTTCCATGTATTGTGGGTTTGAAGTGTTGAAAAAAAAATAAACAAAACAAAACAACTAATGTAACAGTGGGTTGAGAGAGTTGGGAGAGAATGACTCCTTACTCCCTGATAAAATTGTAACAATAATAATTTAGTAGAAAAGAACTAACTTTTGTAGAAACGAATTTATAAAAATGATATGAAAGAATTAAATAAAGGTAATTTCCTCAGAAAAATCAAATAAAGTAAAAAAAACAAAGTTTCGAAAAGATTTTGTTAAAAAAGTTCAAAATAATTCGTTAAAAAATAAAACTTGGTTAAAAAAAAGAACACAATTAGTAAAAAACTATGGATAAATGAGATGTAAAAAAAGTAATTTTGCAAATAAATTTTAAAAAGCATATAAAAATAAAATTATAGAAAAAAGTTAGAGAAAAATTGTTAATTTTGGACATGATTTTTAACAAAAATTAAAACCTGTGTAAAAATTGTAAAAAAAAAAAAAGAAAAAATAAGAAAAAATAAAGTTGGATTCTATGTCGGTCGGGTTTTTGTTGAAATGGGGTGAACATGGGTCAAATATGAAGCACAACAGATTAAATGAACCATGCAAAAAAAAAAGATGAGTTGCTAAGACAATCAGCAATACTCATCCTTAACAATTAGATGATTGTCACTGTCATCATTCCATCCTACCACTAAAATCATGGGACAGATACCATTAAAACACTTTTAATTAAATTTAATTAAAAAATACATTAAAACATATAATTTTTTTTTAAAACTAGTTTTTACATTTAATTAAAATAATCCATTGCATTAAAAAATTATATTAATTAAAAAAATACAACATTAAAAAACCATAAGAATGTCAAACATAAATAAAAAAAAACTACCCCCCATTCCTATATTTGGCTTGAACGGTCTCTTTTATCGTGAGAAAAATCTCCAAATCTTCGCCATCGAAGTCGCCCGCTTTCATTTTCAATATGTCTATATCGATTTTTGTTTGAAGCGTCGTTTGTGCCTCTTGAAATGACATTTGGTCTTCTATCATTTTTTGTTCCACCCAACTCATCATCTTCGCCTTGCTCTCTTGTATTTGGACATATCGATCAAATTTGTCTCCAAAATGATCGATAACGCTAGATCCCGAAGCCGACGAAACCGCTTTTTTTGCTTTACTTCTTCTAACGGGCCAACGAAGTGGTTGCTCGTCTTCAAGATCTATTGGATCATCGTTGATGTCAATGTGTGTTCATCCGTCTGATTGTTGGCAAGTTGCATCGGGGTTTCTTGAACGCTTTGAATCTGAAGACGTTTGTGAAGTTCCTTCAGTTTTCTCTTCCCATTTTGGAGCATCTTTCAATTTTAGCCACGTTGTGAGATATGGAAAAGGCTTGCGGGTTGCTGTTGTTTTTTCATATTGCTCCAAGGCCGCCTTAAACACATCGAAATTGCTTAACCTGCTTTTATGTAGGTAGTTGTAAATTCCTCCGAATTCGGTACATTTTTAGCCTCAAATCGCGCCACTTCGAGCTAATTTGGTCGGGATTTCGACTTTCACTTCCCATTAAATCATAGAACACGCTTCACACTTTTTCCCAAAAAACAGTTAAAGGTTTGATTATCTCCTTCAGTTGGGTCTTAGAAGCCGATACCCACACCTGTGCTAACTTATCTCTTTCCTCTTTTGTCCATTGCATCCTATCGTTTGTAGTGGGTCGAACTGGTTTTTTTTCCTTTTTTTTTGTTGGGGTAGTGGTGAAGGTTGTGTTTCTAATACAAAATTTGGCGAATGAGGGGTTGTGAAGGTTGTTGTAACATCCCGATGTTCAACTACTTCTAAATTCATCACTATAACTCTATTTCATGTCATTTTGGTCCCTAAGTCCAAGAAGTTATGCTTTGAAGCCCTAGTGGCAATTTCGTAATTATGGAAGGAGGAGTACGCCATGCGTACATATGTGTATGCTGAGCGTACTAGGGCACGCCTTAGTACGCTGGGCATACACTTATGTACGCGGGCGTACTAGCTTCTGGAGGAAACCCTAATTTTTAGGGTTTGGGTGGTATTGAAGCAACATTATGTCTCATTTCTCCTCACCTTTTCAGCCTCCACATCCTTTGAGACGTTTTTTCAAACCCTGTCCCTCTTAGTGTGTGTTTTGAGCTCAAGACTGTGTTCTTGGTGTGTGGAAGGAGGGAGAAGTTACATTAAGGAGCCTTGAAGTAGAAGCAAGCTTGTGGATCTGAGATCTTTGCCTTCTTGAGAAGCTCCAGAAGGTATAAAGTCTATACCTTGATGTCTTGGTTGTTAGATCCCATT